GGCTTAGTTTCCCTGTGGGGTGACTGACATAGACTCTCATGTACTAGCAGATTTGCTGGTAATATTTTATGTGATTATGTACAGTATTATTGGAAATAGGAAGACAACCGTCACTCACTAGATATATACAATCAGTATGTCATATAGCACAATACAAACAAAGAGCATAAGTAAAAGGTATAGGCTTCTTTAATATTACAGCTTTCACCAGGTACAAATTGCTGTCTGATAATATAATTTGCACTCAGTTTTAAAACACAGTTTTAAAGTATTTCACAAGGAAATTTGTGTGTTTGCATCTGGTAATAGTTTGCTCATTGGGGGATGGGTCTTGCTTGATACATTAGAGTTTAGCACCATACCCTAATGCCCCCACATGTCTGACCTTAATCCTAACACTAACAATCACATAAACGCTTCCTGTAACACTAACCTCACCCTAACCCACCCTGTAACCCCTAATCTTTAGGGCCATAAAAATCATGCTTGACACTGATATATACACTATATTACCAACCAGCATGAAATTCTGAATAAGATGAATGCCATGATGAGGCAGCAACTAATTCTATTTACTAGCTGGGCAGAGGGTGGTGAGGAGCACACAGCACTGCAGGTGTGTCATAGCTTAGGTGCATGTACAGGACACTTGTTGGCACAACAGTTTATCAACTCCTCTTGGGGGAACTGTGGAGTTACTCCTCATGAAGAAAACTGTGGAGTTTGTTCTTATGGGGGAACTGTGGAGTTCTTCCTCATGGGAAGACTGTGGAGCCATGCTGATTGAATAAGAGCCCCACTGCAAGGGTTAAGATTTGATTTACCCAGAGTTTTGCTTTAACCTCCCTGGCGGTATTCCCGAGTGTGGCTCGGGGTTAAATTTCCTAGCTAGGAGCGGTACCCCCGAGCCACACTCGGGAATACCCTGAAATCACACTAACCTTGTCCCTCGATCCCCGCGGCATCTCGGCGTCTCCTTCGCACAATGCTGGCATCCGTCTCCAGCGTACGCTAACGTCAGCGTCGTAAGGAGGCGGATCCGGCGCGAAATTCAAAAGTGAAACACCACATACATAATATGTATTATAGAGAAGACAGTGCTATTTCGTTACTTTTTCGATAAAGGAGAAGTATTGAGAGAGTAAAATATACTTTTCCCAATACTTACAGCTGACGTGGCATGACAGTTATCACATGCCAGCTCTATATACCGAGAGCTGAGAGATCATGTGACCGATAATTGCTCAGCTCACAGTCCTTTCCCTGCATAGAGCAGTAATTGTCAGTCACCCTCCTGCAGGAATTCCCCCCCAGCCCCCCTGTTCCTCCAGTGCTCCAGTATGCATGTGGCATACACAGTACCTGTCAGGCTTGGTTTCCTGTTTATGAGTAGTATAATCAATTGAAAATGTTGAAACTGTTATCCATCTACCAGCTAGGTCTTCTCTCTACAGTGAGTCTCACTAAAACTGAGAGCCTACATTGCATGGGACATTGTATATCCCAGAAGAAAAGACAAGTTCATAAATTACTATTCGTAAAAATTATACTGTTTTCAAAGCCACTGAGAAAATATGAGAACTGAATATGAACTTATCTTAAAAACTTCATTTTGTGAGCTTTAACACATTGTTTTCAATGTGAACTTGAAAAAAAAAATTGCTTAAATAATTTTTTATCCTGATAAAAATGATTTACAGTTCTTAAAAGAACAGCACCATAAAACAAATCACAGCAATGTCTTCCTTGATATGTAAAATGCCAGCAGCCATTGAGAACATTTGCAAAGACAGAAACAAAAGTACAAACAAAAGTAGATGGATAGATGAATAGATGGATAGACAGACAGACAGACGGATAGATAGATAGATAGATAGATAGATAGATAGATAGAAGGTGTCATTTCAATCTTGCTTACAACCTGGCAACTCTACATTGTTAAATGAGTGGCAAAGCCATTGGAAATAAGGGAAGCTGTCTATCTACAATTTTGGATATATTGGGTTCATTCCCCTTTTCTTTTTCCCCTTTTTTATGTACATTGAAAAATATGCATGAAGTTAATGTACTGCACTTATATTTAGTCCTTTTTACAGTTACAAGGGCTTGATCGTTTCACATCACATGACCAAGTACAGTAAATACATAGAAAAGAGTTTGCAGAGCAGTTCTGGTCTGGAATCTGATACTGCTGTCTCTCCACTAAAAGAAAATGTTGCAACAAGTGGCAGCAGAGGGGGCCCAAGCCTCGTGGAACACAATGCTAGTCGTGGTTACGACGGTCTTGACCCCAGTTCCTATGCACCATGTTTTAAATAAATACTAATTTGTGCATTTCATCTCCTTCAACTTCATCCATGAACGCTGCTCAAAGTTTTTAATTTCCTTTGTCTCCGGTAGCAGAGTACAACAGATGGTAACAGCTCAGCTTAAGCAGATACAAATTTCAAATGAAGGTAAGCTTTCCAGTGATATGGTGAATATATGGATTGTGTGACTGTTAAGTCCACCTGTTTTCTTTTCACATTCTGTGCAGCCGTTACACATAACCGGAGACGGGGCCTCGATTCAGATGAGTTTATAATATATCACATTTCCAACCAAGATAACATCTCTGTTGATATCTTTGTCAGCAGAACTGTAAGGAAATAGGGCTGTGTTTTGTGGCTCCTGACCTAGCTTGTAATAGCAGAAATGATTAAGATAAAAAGGCAGATGTACTGGAGCAAAATTTAATAGCAGGATAGGTATCTTTAATTCATCGTGGTAAAAAATGAAATAGGTTTATAGCAGTTATTTTATTAATTAGAATTACTATAAGAAGTCATTAATATATATTGCAAAGCACAGAGCGTGTTAGTACAATAAGCCAGACCAACCTGAAAACTGGATGTGCTCTCTTTAAAGACCACATAGAGCCATTTTGAGACCTAATAGCGCAGTGAATTTTTCAGACCCAGCGAATAAATACATTCGTAGGTTGAAGTTATATCTTTTTAGTAGATATAAAAACGAGCTATCAATACCCTAATATGTTATTTTATATAGAGTTACAAACAATTCATTCAAAACATGCCTTTTCTCATCTTCTAATGGAACATATTTTCAAAGAAGCAAGGCTTCATATTTAGAGATCACTGATGAACCTAGCATCAAGTAAAGTGTAATTATAACACTGACTGGGGGAATTGATCAAATCTGGAGCAGACAAAATGTGGAGCAGATTTGCACTTTAACCAATCAGCTTCCCTGTCTCATTTTCAAATCTTACCTGAGCAAATTGAAGAGAGATGCTGATTGGTTGTCATGGGCAACTGCTCCAGATTCTGTCTGCTCCAGTTTTGATGAATTCCCCCCTCTATTTTTAGAGGGAGACCCCCCCCCCCTTCCCCAAACCAAAGTCGGTCAGTCATCTTTGTTCAAGCATTATCCAGGATCAACATCAACCTTCTGTGTTCATAAATGTCTGATACAAATCAGCGCCCTGCTGCTGCCTCCCACCTTACTACATAGTTACAATGTTGCAGTCTGATCACTGGTGGAGTGGAGACTGAGCTAATGATTCCTCCTGCATAGTAGATTGTTTTCATCATCTCGGCCTAGGCAAAGTCACTTGACCAGAGCTCAAGGACAGCTTTTTTATGATGAAAGGTAGAGCTTTTTTTTTAACAAAATAAAAAAAAATTATAGTACTGATTAGGGTTGCCACATTTTCTTTCAGCGAAGCCCGAACACTCTAGTGACATACAGAATTTTTTTGGGGAGAATGAGTCACGGCTTATTCATATGTAAAAAGCGTTACCCGATTAATATGTAGATATCACGGTCATGACTATTTTCAGTGGGGGGCCAGTAGCCCCTATCTTCATTTTGGTTGCCCCTGTCTGCATGACACCCTGTGTCCGGGTTTCAGTTGCCATGAAACCCAGACACAGCATTCAAAACCTGGACTGTCCAGGTGAATCCCAGACAGGTGGCAACCCTAGTACTGATGTATATCGTGACATGCCAGAAATGTATTCATGCAGACATATAACGTTTCTGAGATGTCCCTTTGACCAACCTGCAAAGGATATCTCCAAAACTAGCCTACATTCATACCTATGAGAATAGAAACAAGGCACACCATAACTCTGCTTTGAATTAGCACACATACAGTGCTCTAATTCCTAGCATTTCATTTGAGCTTCCAAAGTCAAATGGAAATTGAGGAGATGTAAAACGAGTAGACCCCATTACGTAATTATCACCGTTAAGAGAATCCAAGACCAATCAGCCTGTTCAGTTCTCTGTGCCAGAGCAATGCTCATTATTGTACTTATTAGGATTGTTTTAAATTATTTTGGAATATCCAAACCTGAAATACTTATACTCAGTATTGCCAATGATAATTCTCCTTAGTATTTACGTACGACTTTTTATACAGCGTAAGATTATTTTCCACTACTGAGTATTCTGGGTTTCCTCACTTCATAATATAGAGTAAAATAACAAAAGAACAGTAGGTTAGCTAAGAGAATTCATGGATGTCAATGGACCTAACTACAGAAAAGCAGAAATAAAATTCTTTGAAATAAAATTTGCCTCTGTTTCCATAAAAAACAGACATAATCCAGTTCATATTCTAATAGAGAAAAACAGTCATTCCAAATCTTCTTCCAATTGCACAGTGCTGTAACCTTCAGCTTTGCCAAAAAGGCCAACACAGACTGCATTTTTTCCAGATGTTAAGGCACAGGTTGTGTTTTTCAGGGCCAGAGCTACAAACCAAGATGCCAAAGTTGAAAACAGAGCTGAGAATATCACTTTGAAAAATATCTTGGATCACAACATGCATTTCTAGCATCATGGAACATATTTGTGTGAAAATAAAAAAGATTTTTGCTGTAGTCTAGAGTATATGCCATCTCCGGTAAACCATAAATTAACCCTTGGCAGTAAAAGTACAGTAACTAAGGATGCAAAGAGGTTAACTGTGCCTGGTACAGCATTTTACTTACAGTGGGGTGAATCTAGCCAATCCACGTTGTTCTATTATATTCCTTATAACAGCCAGCTTCCAAAGATCAGACACCTGTAAGCAAAAATAGCAAATTAAAGTTAGCTTTAGGGCAGCCAAGAATTTGATGCAAAGCATGTTTGTTCACATTGATAAACAAGGAAAGGGAAATATAAAAACACCAACTATTGAATTTATGACTTCAAAAACTTTACATTTTATGACACACTACTACCAGCTGTGTTTGTGGTCCATTCACTAGCATAACCTGGATAATACACCATTGTCACACCTATGAGGTTTTAAACTCTAATAATGATGTATGGTTCCACTTAATATAATATACAGATCCCTATCCAGGCAGGCAGCCTGGGAGGCCAGGAAATGGAGCTCAGTGAGTGTGCCCCTCCCTTCCTTCCTGCACCATGCCAGGCCACATGAATAAGGCCTCTGAACTCTGGGCAAGGGGGTACCTTGCAAGCCACCTTGTCCGTGTTGAGGAACACAGGCCTCTTTCCCACATCCTGTTTCCCAAAAAGGATCTGGGTGCTTGTGGAGAGGAACTTATAGGAATCTAGAAGCATCCTTTAGAATAAGGGGCCCCCCCAGATATCCTCCCCTGCCTAGGGGAATGAGTAAAGGGGTACGTTGGTACCCCTTATTACTTATCCCCCCCAAAAATAAATGATACCCTGATATCCTTTAATACCAATACAAAAACGATAAACAATGTACCCAACGTAAACCCATCATTATTGTGATGTACAGTAAATACCCATCAATTGAAACAACCCCATCGCCCAACAAAACTTAAAACCAACAGATGGACAGAACAAAAAAAAAAATAGTGTGACTGAAATAAACCAAACCATTGAACAAAAAGAAGCCAATCTAAAAATATTTTTTCCTTACTGACATCAGTAAGCACCTATGCAAAGAAAACATAGACTACTGTTTATAGGGGCCCAGAAAGCCACAGAATAAGTGCCATAGGGCTGCAGGCTAGGCACAAGGGCTTTACAATCACTCTCTTTAGCATCGTCAGTCCTAGGGAGGTTTCTCTTAACATCTTCTGAGCCAGTGGCATAGTGGAAACATCCTTTAAGTCAATAACATAAGGTGCCACCTCTAGAGGTTCCAATAAATCACTAATAATGTGTAGTGCAAACCCAGAGAAGGCTGCCAGGAAACTAAAAAATACTAAATTACAGCCCCTATCTGTGGGAAATGTCTAGTCTTTTTTACATTTGCAGCAGAAAAGTCAACTATGTTATAATGATACCAAGACACTGCATGCCAGGAATTCCATAATATTCGTAATATCTCATAACATAATGTATATGACTAAGAAGAAACAATTTCCACCAATAAAGCACCATATTTAGTGGAACCAGTTTAAGATGAACCCTAAGCAAAGTTTAAAAGTAGAGGACTATGTCGTTACAGCTGAATTGTATTGTACACATATGACCCTTCACTTGGTCCTCCTTCCTGCCTGGTCAATACATAATACAAATTTTCAATCATATAATTTTTTTTAAAAGAAATATCTGTTTTGAGACCCAGTGATATCACCGGGCCAGCAGGCTCATGTAACCATCACAGCTTTATGCCTTAGAGAATTTTATGAAAGAAAACATCCCAAGAATCCCTTAAAAAGTGCCTACTTCCCCCTTCTGTCCACTGGGTGCTACAGACTTTAGCAATAAAGGGTTATTTTGTGGAAATGCAGGGAAATAACTGTAATATACTGTACACTGCCTGGCCAAAAAAAAGACACCACCAGGATTTAGCTAAGCAAATAGCTAAGAGCGTTCCATTGGATAATAGGTCTAGTTTCAGTAATGTTATGTCCCTATAAAATTAGGTCAGCTGCCTAGCTGAATATACTGAATCACCAGGTTTTTCCATTAATGGATTTTTTCTTCCCTGATGGCATGTCCATATTCCAAGATGACAATGCTAGGATTCATTGGGCTCAAATTGTGAAAGAGTGGTTCGGGGTTCATGAGACATCATTTTCACACATGGATCAGCCACCACAGATTCCAGATCTTAACCCCATTGAGAATCTTTGGGATGCGCTGAAGAAGACTTTACGCAGTGGTCCGACTCTCCCATCATCACTACAAGATGGTACTATGGCCAATGCGTGCAGTATTTAAAGATAAGTGCAGTTCAGAGAGTGTGTGACTTTTTTTGGCCAGGCAGTGTACTAGTTTAGGAAAAAAGGTAAGGCTACAGTTCAGCTTTAAATTAAATATGTAGATGATAGGTGCAGGTTTGAGCTGACAAGCAGGTGGAAAATAAAAAAGTGCAATTAGACTTGGAGTCTATTCTGCTGGTGAAATACCAATCTTTATATCAATACAGGCTAGCATTACAATGAATGAATAGGTAAACCTTGTATACACCTGAGAACCATAACTTTTGAAATAAATGGTAAGAAATTGTTGTAGCTATATATCCCTATATTTATTTCAGTCTGCTTTATACAGTGACAAATCAACACACACCCTGGGTTATTCGGTTGCCTCTGTGCCTCTGTGTTTTCTACTGAAAAGCTGTTCAAAGTAATTGGCTTAAGTTTTTTTTTCTCCTCTGCCCTTTACATACCTCAAAATAATTTTAATTTTTAAAAACTCACAATTTACATTACTGTTGAAAATCAGCAACGTGGCAGGTACTGTATGCATAACAATTGCTACAATATAGTAATCGCATAACAAATGTTGATAAGGCTTTTACTTTAGAAGGACTAGAGCATGATTACTGCATGGCTGATTGGAAAGGTGTATTATTCCCTGCAGTATGGAAAATGTATTTCTGGATTTGTAATCAAAGAAATAGGTAGCAGAAAGCACAGCGGTTAGGTGTCAAGGACAATAACTCATAAGGGTCTATTCACTAAGCTGCCGTAGGCAGCCGAGTGAATGACCAACCTGAAGTGAAGTGAGCCGAACACTGTTCGGCTATTCACTTCAGGCTGGTACGGCTGATTTCAGCCGTATATCCGCTGAAATCAGCCATACATCGGCTTGCTTCACATGGCTTCGGCTCAGCATGTTCGGCCGACCCGAAGTGCAGAAGGAGTTCGACTCAGCCGATCCAACATCTGGCAGGCTACTCACTGCTGTTAGACCTCAGAGGGACCGAGCAGAACAGAAAAATAGGTAAAAAAGTAAAAAAAAAGAAAATAGAAAACGATTGTGCGGAGCTAGCAGTGACAGATAGCTCCAACCAATAGTTTTCTATTGTCCAGCGGCTCTGCTGCCGTAAAAAAAAACAACGAAAAAAACCCCTCTCCCGGGTGCTCTGGGAGCCTCCCGCTCCAGGCTGCCCAGGAGAGAAACACTGCTTTTTCTTTTTTTTCTTTATTCTGACACGAAGCCGTGTCAGAATACAAAAAAATATATATATTTTTTGCCCATTGGAATGCATTGCTAGATTCCTATTGGCTATTTCAATTTGCAATAGCCAATAGTAAACTAGCATTGTACCCGCCCTCTGCTGATGGACCTGAAGGAGAACTGCAGCAGAGGGAGGGTACAATGCTAGTGGCAGAATAAAAAAATTCTGGAGCGGGAGACTCCTGGGGCGCCAGGGAGTTTGCTGTTTGGAGATCAGTGTCCCTGGTTAGCAGGTAACCAGGGATGCTGATCTCTCTGCAAGTGGCCGGAGCCAGCCGTAAGATCACGGCTGGCTCCGCCCAGCTGTAAGATCACGGCTGGCTCCGCCCAGCTGTAAGAAGCAGGCTGTCGGACGGCCAATGTCCGGCCGCTTCGGCCAGCTTCGGCAACTATGAACCCTAGCAAAATAATTGAAGAGCCCCACGCTTAGAAGTTGATTTACTAAAGAAAAATAGGCTGCTTGCGTTCCAAGAGAATTTGCATTTCAGGAGAATTTCCTTCAGTTTAGTGAATGTGGTGAAGCTCTGATTACTTCCATCATCTAATCATGTACAACCAAAGTACTGTTTTTTTAATTTTCCTTGTTTATGATTGGTTATTCTTTGCAAAGCAAATTTTTACTACATTTACTAAGCTAAGGGAAAACATTCTTGCAGAGCTCAAAGTGAACAGCCAATTTGCCTTTAGTAAATCAATCCCTTAGACTCAATGGAAAAATATAGGGTATCATCAGTGGGGATATATTTTGAACATTTACTGTGGTGAATATCGCAAATAACTGTGACATGTTTATATGTACATTTTGTTATGCTTGCTCTTCAATGTTTATATTATTTCATTAAATATGTATGTTTGTAGGTTAGCCATGAGAGGGGGCTACAGAGGCCTAGTGCAACTGCCCTGTATTTCTCTTAATATAATAATATGATGTAAACCACGTAAGGAGTGCATCTTTTTTTTTTTACACGTGATTGGGTATTCACAGTGAGCTGTATTCATAGGGAGTGGGACACAGACAGCATAAAATGCATGGCAAACGTTCTAATAGCTCTCTAATTTATCAAAAAAAAAAAAAAAGAATCTGGCTTCAGTTGCACTGAAGAGCCAGGATTGATGATAGGGATATTTAGGTTTGCCCAGGGTGCTGAAAACCCCCACACACCAATGTCAAATGCCAGGCTTAGGACACCTAAAAAAGCAATTTGCACTTGTACAATGTAAAACCCTGAACAGTATACAGTATGGTATTTTTTACCCAATAACGTGACTAGAAGCATCTCTATTAGCCAAATGAATATAAACATAAAGTACAAAAAGAAAGAAATAAAAAGGCGACAGTTACTACCTTGTAAAAGTACTACATCTATTAATATGGTAAATAGGCACTCATTCTGATGACTGTATGACAATAAAAAAACAATATTTATTATTACATTTTGCATTACATTATTAATATGTTTATTTATAAATGCTGGAATCTGTACCTTTTCAGCCATTTGCTTATGCATAATATTTCCACTGGGTAGAAAACAAAACTGAAAATATCACAACATGTTCAAAAATAGAAACACTTCTGGGACTGCAATTTTCAGGTTATTGTCGCTGTATTTAAGAGTACGAGAGAAAAATGAAAAGCCTCAGTACAAAAGAATAAAGATGTAATAA